ATTCACTTTTAAAAAGACTTTACACAAGTCATGTTGTGGATCAAAATATATTGACAAGCGAACACCATCACCATCATCATCATTGTCATCATCATCATCATCATCATCATCATCATCATCATCATCAACAACAACAACAACAACAACAACAACATCAACATCATCATTATCATCATCGTCTTCTTCAACAGGTGGTTGTCGTTTCGTAAGAAGTTTTGTGGGAATTTGTAAATAATCTATGTTTACACGCTCTAGGATCGTCGTTTTTTGGACTAACTATTTGCTTATTCATTAATGCGTATATTTCGGTATTAAACTTATCGTTTTAAACTTTGTCTAATTCATATTAAAAATCCATGCAGTTTAAAATCTCTCTTATACTTTTCATTTTCATTACAGACTGTTCATGTGTTAAACTATTATAAGGATATCTACTTTTTTCAAGAATGGCAAGAATGACTTACTGCTTCAGTCGTTGTAAGTAATAAAGAACTCGATCCTGTGACTAAATGTTCGATCGTGAAATTCGCCAAGCAATATGTTAGAACAACTAATTTCTTTATAATGAACAGTCTTGTCAATTCATCATTGGGTTAATGAAATTACAATCAGTGTATATTTCCTGTTTTATTTATAGCATATCTATCAGCGATTCAAATTGTATTTAATTAAATGTGTACATGATGTTATTCGACAATTAATGATAATGGTATCTGAATATACTTGCACCAAATATAATACATAGATGAATACCTACCGATTGTAAATGATAATTCCTTTCTTAGTATTTCGTACTACATTCATGCAAGGGGAACATAGAAAGACAGTACTCTGCTTTGATCGGAAATATCATTGAAATAAATACACTAGAAAGCTGATTAATCTAGTTAACTTCGATTAGTCAGATAGATGAATAAACAGTCGTATCATATTTTACACACTAACAATATGAGTCTATGTACTAGGTGAGGAAACGAGTATCCTGACGATCGACATCTGTTGTATTTACTTCTAATTCTGTATACTGTTATTTTAAAACCCTACTCCGTAAGTCAGACCTTCTAACGGAAGTTTAATTGTAGTACCTGAGGATGGTTTAAAAAAGTGGAGAATTAATTGTCATAGAACCTCTGCAATCAAAACTCATTTATCCGCCTCACCCCTTATTTTTGCATCTTTCTTTCAATCTTCTTTAAATAAATAAAGCTAAGAGAGTATATTTAGGGTGGTGGTTGGAGGTAGTTGACAGAAACCCCAGTCCTGGGTTTCGTGCTGTTTGAAACTCATCAACAAGATATACCCATATAATCTTGAAAAAACTATTTCTCTCCATTGGTGTTGATCCTGTTTCACTTAGCGTCATAGTTACGGGCGTCATCATCACTGCTCAGTGATTGATCAGTCATATAAAGGAAGTATAATTTTAGCACATTAACCCCTTAAAATTCCATTTTTAAAAACTTCTAGTCATCAAGTTATACACGCCAACTAGTTTCTTTGGTCTGTTTGATCAATGAAGTCACGAAACATGCTTTCTATAAGGATGATAAATTAATGATTCCTTACAGTACCTCCCTTTTTATTTCAGTATTAGGATGACAGTGTTCTCATTACTAAGGAAACCAAATAATCAGGGTAATATGATTCAGAATACCAGACTCTAAGTATAATACATAATGATACCAAATCACTGAAATTTGTACTGAAATTCAATTTGCTTTTTGATGAATTTCAAGTAGGCCTAAAATTTTCAGTATTCTACCTATAATCTAAGGGATTCATCGAAAGTATCCTCCTTAACAGAGATTAAACATTTTAATTATTATCAGAAGGGGTTTTTTGTGGATATGATAGTAATTTCAATAGTTGAGATCATGGGTCGATTGAAGCTAGATCATCATGGAAAACCTGGAAGCACTGGATGGCTGTTTCGTCCTACTGTGGAACTCCTCACCAGGAGGATACTCCATAAGAAAAATTGTCTAAGGTTAGTTGATTAAGATTATTTTCATGTTATCACTTTCTGTTTTAAATGTTTGCATCTCAAGGCCTAAGAAAAAGCATTATGAATTATCATCCACAGAAACAGAAACCATGTCATCTAACAGAAAAGGTAATGGCCGAATAACTTTATTAACTGAGTCGAAAAACCGGCGTAAAATGGTCGCCATCAAAGTGTAAAATACAATAAACTAAATGAACTATCCATCTTTGCTTATAATGCTTGTAAATTTAGGCAATATCGAGGCATACGCACAGTATGCACATATGCCAATAAGAGACTGATCAATTTCAGTTCAAAAACATCAATGGGAAAATTCAAGTAAAACAATATCAAGTGAATTCAACTTCAACCCATTGCACAAGCAAGTGGCTATCAGGACTCAGTAGCTGAGTGGATAACGCGATGGCGTTTGAAGCGAACGGTACCGAGTTCGAGTCCCAGAGTGAACATCAACTCTGAGATGCAGGTACATCCAGCTGACGAGTCCCAAACAGGACAAAACGCGCGTCCTGGATCCCACTGCTAGCCACTATCCATCTTTGCTCATAATCAAAATTGTTTGGATATTAATAAACTTAGTAAAGAGGATTCGAATCTTGGTTTACGACGTAATATTTTGTGATAAAACCTAATTTAGTAGACTGTAACACCAATAGTCAATTTGTAGTGAACAAGAACACCAGTGGGGAACAATCGAATGTATTTCACAACAAATTACAAAACCCGTTAATAAATTCTAACAACCAGTATAGTAAATGCTCAATTTGTAAAACGACCATCAGTTGTCTCAAAATGGCCCACACTTTATTGTTTTTGTATTTTCACATAAATTGCAATCTGTTCCCATTCTTTACTGTTCGATGCTCTTGTTTTTCTGCTACCAGATATTCTGTTCCTGACTAACGTCATATACTACTTATGTCAATCTAAGTAGCTCACAGAACAAAATCAATTACATCCAACTGCAGACATGTTTCACTGACTCGAATACACAGCTCATTCACTATCAGTTGACTGCAGTCTCCTCTGTTTCATGTGAGATGCCCTTTGTGGATGCACTTTTTGGTACACTGAGAGTTGATTAATCGACCGAGAAATGCGTGAATCAATGCTTAGTTGTGATCATCGGTTTGTTGATGTGATTGTGTGTAGTTTCCTGGTGCTCATTCGCACAGAATGTATGCTAGATCGTGCAGAGTGAAAAAGGAGAAGGGCAACGAATTGCTGGTAAATTGTGTGGAGAAGGAGTGATCGAGAAAGCATAAAGACAAACAGACGGGTAGGTAGATAGACAGAGAGCAGATAGAGAGATAGACAAGCATGTGGGTGAACGGATAGTGGGAATGACAGACAGAGAGACGGACAGAAGCGAAGACAAAAAGACAGAGCTCACAGAACGGAATCACTTACATCCAAGTGCAGTCATGTTTCACTGACTAGAATGCACAGCCCATTCACTGTCAGTTGACTGGAGTCTCCTCTATCTCTTTATCTGAACGATAAATGGCTTCAAGTGATGTCTTCAATACTCACTGACAGAATCCTAACTAGTAAGGTACTTTGATATGTAGTTCCCCAACATTTTAAAAAAAATTTGTTGTGCCGTACTCCAGAGTTTCGGTACTGAAGACAGATATTAGTCAATTTGAATTTGACCACAAAAAATCATGATTTCTTATAATACTTCAGTACATTCATTTGAGCTATATTTGTTAATCTACTTATAACTTTTATTAGTAGTATAAATGAAATCTCAAACTTTTCACCACACTTCACAACAGACTGAAGTCTTTTGATTATTTAAATTAAATTATAATATTATTATCACAACATACTGTATATTTATAATAACAACACTATATACAATTGAATTTAATGGTTGATTGAAAATTTGTAAACAAGTGACATCAGAAAGAGCATTTTCGATTAATGACAAGATATACTCTTATGAATATGAGGTATTAGATTGATTGATTGATTCATTTATAAATATTTCTCTTCCATGTGTCCATTAAATGAATATTTATATGTATAACTTAGTACTAATGCAAATTTCAGTGTATTTAATAAACACTAATACTGATGGAAATAGTATTTCCATTATGAATATGCAAATAAATGGTATTTATAGTCATTATGTGAATGTATAAACATTTACAATCCATGAATTATTACTTTTGCAGTTCACTATTAATGATCATTCATTCAAGAAGTAATTTATCCAATCTTTAACGAGTTATGATGTTTTGACAAGTATTTTAACCGATCTATTCAGAGTTTGTTTACAAAACATTTGAAAGAATAAAATGATATATTTAAAGTGAAATGTAAAGTTCATTCGAATTATAGTTTCCATAGATACAATAATGAAGGATGGATAGATAGATAGATAGATAGATAGATAGATAGATAGATAGATAGATAGATAGATAGATAGATAGATAGATAGATAGATAGATAGATAGATAGATAGATAGATAGATAGATAGATAGATAGATAGATAGATAGATAGATAGATAGATAGATAGATAGATAGATAGATAGATAGATAGATAGATAGATAGATAGATAGATAGATAGATAGATAGATAGATAGATAGATAGATAGATAGATAGATAGATAGATAGATAGATAGATAGATAGATAGATAGATAGATAGATAGATAGATAGATAGATAGATAGATAGATAGATAGATAGATAGATAGATAGATAGATAGATAGATAGATAGATAGATAGATAGATAGATAGATAGATAGATAGATAGATAGATAGATAGATAGATAGATAGATAGATAGATAGATAGATAGATAGATAGATAGATAGATAGATAGATAGATAGATAGATAGATAGATAGATAGATAGATAGATAGATAGATAGATAGATAGATAGATAGATAGATAGATAGATAGATAGATAGATAGATAGATAGATAGATAGATAGATAGATTAGGTTAGGTTAGGTTAGGTTAGGTTAGGTTAGGTTAGGTTAGGTTAGGTTAGGTTAGGTTAGATAGATAGATTTACGTTGTGATACACTGTTATATATTTCATATATAAATGCTATTTGTTTAATATTTAAATCAAAGATGTACTTTTATAAAACTGTGAATCCGGTAAAATTTGATACATGATTTTATAAATCCATTGAATAAACCATGGTATACCATTTGAATTGATTGAATCTATTTCATCATTATATTCATTATATTGAAATAATTTAATAAATCTATTCATATAGAATAATAATTGATAAATTAATTTCCATGGTGATATAATAATAGATGCTAATTGATGATTAGATATATAAGCAAAACATGATACTAAAACATTATCTACAATCATTGTACCAGTATCAGTAATTGGTGCATATAAACCAATTTTATATCGATTTTCATATTGTGTATGATTAATCAATAAAGAATTTCTTAATTCAACTGATATAATTTCTGCTTGGATTAATTCATTCGAATGATGAGGATGATGATGAGGATAATGATGGTAATTATAAACAAAAATGATTTGACCTTTTTTAACAGTCGATGCAAATACAGCTTTCTTATTCATCATTTTGGTATTATTATTATTATTATTACTATTTACCATAGTAGTATTATCATATATAAAAATTAAATGATCTTCAGTTAAATAAATACTATTTTGTTGTTGTTCTTCTTCTTCTTGTTGGTGTTCTCGTTGTTGGTGATGGTGGTGGTGGTGGTGTTCTCGTTGCTGTTGTTGTTGTTGTTGTTGTTGTTGTTGTATTAAATTTGAATGAATTTGATATTTAATTTCTATTAATGGACTCCATGCATGTTGATCATAATCAAGGAAACCAAAAACTAATGTATTTGTTATATGACCATTTATTGGATTTTGTGTTATAATATAATCACCAATTTTTAAATCTTTCATTGATATTAATTGACCATTTGATTTATATACTTTTGATTCACTAGGAAAACAACCAAACCATTGAGATGTAACAATAGAATCTAAAAAGAAAAAAGAATTTTTTCGTGGATATGATAGTAGGTTAGTTATTGAATTCATGAGTGAATTGTAGCTAGACTACCATGGAAAACCTGGAAACATTGGAGTTCTAGTGAGAAGTATTGACCAGTGGAGTTCAACCGGGTCAGTTGTGAGATAGCAACTCATTGATGGTAATGGTGGACGGTGGCGCAATTTCGTGGATTAGTTGAAATTAGACATTAACACCGTTGGATCCAAGCCGGCTGAATAATCTAGAGGTTAAGAGCTCGCTCTCGAGACTAACAGGTCTTGGGCTCGAATCTCGTGGGGTGTGGGATCGTGGATGCGCATTGCTAATGAGTCCCACACTAAGACAAAATGGTGGTCCAACGCTTCCAGGTTTTTCATGATGGTCTAGCTTCAATTATCTCACGAATCTAACAATTAAATTTAGTTACATAATTTTAAAATGATTTAAAATATTACATGCACTATTATTTATTCCTATTTATTTAATGTGGATGAATTATAAACGAATGTATTATGATAGTATTGAGATTTGCGGAGTTAATCCAAGGTGGACCACCAGTGAAATCACTGAACGGCTGTTCCATCTTAGTATGGGACTTCTCAGAAGTGCTTATCCACAATCATTTTCGATCGATAGTGTCGTGCACGATTGTTTTAACCTCTAAACTATTTAGTCAGCATCCAATGATGTTAATGTCTACGCTTAAAACATAGTGGATATGCACTACTAAGGAGTAGTATAATAGGACGAAACGGCCGTTCAGCGTTTCCAGCTTTTCAATGGTGGTCTAACTTAAATCAATTCGTGAGTTTAACTATAGGAATGTATTTTAGTTTAATGGAAGTTACACAGGAAATACGGATATAAATTTATTTTTTTTCTTTAATACACAACCACATCTTCAACATATTTCGTCTAAAGAACTATTACTCAATTATAACCGGTTTTTAATTCGTACATAAATAATATAAATAGTGATTTATGATTCATTTTATATCACCTACATGGTTAACACAAGTTCATAAAATAAACTTCAATAATTGTTATCAAGTCATATTCTTCATGAATATATTATTTTAATAAATAAGATTTATATCAGATGGGTTTTGTGGATATTATAGTAATTTCAATGGTTAAGATCATGAGTCAGTTAAAGATAGAACACCATGGAAAACCTGGAAGCACTTGACGGCCGTTTCGTCCTATTGTGGGACTCCTCAGCAGTGCGCATCCACGACCTCGCCCCCTGCGAGATTCGAACCCAAGACCTATCAGTCTCGCGCGTGAGCACTTAACCACTAGACCACTCAGCCGGCCGGCATGCAACAGTGTTAATGTCTAACTTAAACTAATCCACGAAATTGAGCTACACATTCACCATTGTCTTCAGTGAGTTACTATCTCACAACAGACCTGATTGAATTGCACTGGTTTTCCATGGTTTTCCAGGTTTTCCATGTTGGTCTAGCTTCAACTGACTCATGATCTTAACCATTGAAAATAAGATTTACTTAGTTTTACAGTTTTTTTAATAGTGACCACCCACAAATAAACAATCTCACGGTTACTAAGTATGTTTAAATCTCTATAGTTTTAATATTGAATCATTTGAGAAATATGATGATCTATTCTTTCAATTCCCAGTTCACTAAGATTAATATTAATGACAAATTATTCTTTTAAAGTCTTCTCAATAGTTGTTGATAAGTTCTGATGTACTTGTAGTGTCGGTTATTTTATCAAGTCCATATGACTTATTCTAGCTTATGAATAGGCCAATTTATCCATTCTTCTTGATTCATGTTATTCGCTTATCACTCTTGACTGTTTTTATATGAGCGTATGTATGTGCACTTCTTATCCTATTCATCGCATCATCTGCAACCTATTTTTATCTGGCTATAACTATTGGTTAACACCTGATTAAATGGAATTGGCTCACATGCCTTCTCCACTGAGCGCCATACCGCTTCGCTCTTTTCTTTTCGCTTCTTTCACTTTGTCCCTCTGATTGTTTATCCAGATCAATGTGTACAAAATATACGTATTCAAAATTTCATTCTCATATTTGACTTATTTAATTTCGTTATTCACTAACGTGATTTAAGTCGATAATTATATACGAGGATAACCAACATATATATTTCAACAACATTCATACGAGTCAAATATCAGGCCACCGTCGATAACATCGTCCAATCGAATTGATGTCAAACGTGCAAACGTCTAACTCGACAAACTTCGCAACCCTATACTGATAATTAACATGTGCTCACTAGTGACTGACGTCAAGATGAATTTCACGGAGTTCTAGTGAGAACCCGTCACTAGTGGAGTTCTACCGCATCTGTTGGGAAGCAGTTACTCGCCGAAGACAACAGTGGACGGTCGCGTAATATCGTGGATTGGTAGAAGTTAGACATTAACACCGTCAAATGCTGACTCAGTGGTCTAGAGATTAAGCATTCACACATGAGATCGAAAATCCTGGGTTCGAGTCCCACATAAGGGATCGTGTATGCGCACTGCTGAGAAGTCCCATACTAGACGAAACAGTCGTCTGATGCTTACAGGTTTTCCAACGGTGGTCTAACATTCATCCATTTATGATATCGATCAAAACTCAACAATCTCTACAACCGTAAACTGAAAATTTGTATTAATCAGGGGGGAATTTATAAGTGTCATTTTAAAAAAAGTTAATACACCATTTATGATCTCTAAATAAAAGCAAAATAAATAATTAATTAATTAATTATAAAACATTAATACAATGGAAGACGGTCGCGCAATTACGTAGATTGGTTGAGGTTAGACATTAACACCATGGGATGCCGGCTAAGTGGTCTAGTAGGTTAAGCGTTCGCATGCGAGACTGGAGGTCCTGGGTGCGAGTCCCACAAGCGGAATCATGGATGCCCACTGCTGAAGAGTCCCATAATAGGACAACACCGTGGTCCAGTGCTTCCAGGTTTCCAATCGTGGTCTAACATCAATCGGTTCATGATCTCAATCAGAAATAATTCATTAAATATATAATATCAATTAACTAACCAGGTTTAACAGAACAATGTACATGACCAGCACGATTAAAAAAACACCAATCAAAATGTGCTACATAATATGCTATTTGTGCTAATACACCTAAATGTAAATCTGAATTATGTGGTCTACCATATTGTCGTGTAATTAATTCCATATCTACAGCTCTACCAGCATAATGAAATTCTTCCATACGTAATTCATTTAATTTATTATTATTATTATTATTATTATTATTATTATTATTATTATTATTAGTGATTAAATGATTTGGATTAGAATAATAATCATAATTACGATGTTTCCGATCAATATTGGATGTATACATTGTATTAATTGAACGTTCAACCAATTTATGTAATGCTTTATCACTTCGATTAGATGAATGAATTTCATTCATTGTTTGATTTAAACGATAAATTGTCATATTTGATTGTTTAAGTAAAACATGTCTTGGCAATCGAATCATTGTATCATATGAAGAGTCTGGTAAAGATGATGAAACTTTGTTTGGATTGAAAAAATATCCAGATGATGTTGATGACGATGATGATGATGATGATGATGTTGGTGACGACAATGATTGATGTGAATGAGGATTTTGTGTTGGATATGATGAAAAAGATGATCTTGGTAGCGAAGAAAGATGTGTGATATAATTTGGATTATTTTTTGTTGAAGGCCAACGATTAGTTTGTGTTGAAATACTTTTTGATGATGGAATAAATTGATTAAATTTTAAATTTTTCGATTGTGTTCCAACTTTATTTGAATGAGAATTGATTTGAATGAATTCACCATCCATCATTTCTGGTGTCATATCAATAACTGGTGCATCAAGAAATTGTCTTGATTTAACTGGTACAAATGGTAATGCTCTTTGACCAGAAAAAACTGTTGGTGAATTACCCACAAATACTGGATTACGACCATTTGAAACTTTTTCCAGTTTAGAGGTTTTCTCATAAAGTAATGGTGAGTCTTCATGATTATCTTCTACATTATCATCTTGTGGAAGAGGTTTGTAATTTGGTGGCGGTTTAACCCAAGAACGTATCACTCGTAAAATAACATCTTGTTTAGCCCATGTATTATGTATCTGTGTCGATAATTTGATCAGTCGATCTCGACAACCCTAAAAATGTAAAAATTAAAAAGTTTTTATAGTTTAGCTTGTTATCAGTTTTGTCAACTTATAGTAACATCTCAATCAGTAAAATCTGAACATTGGACTATAGGTCTTTAAACATGTCATGTGAATGGAAATCACAAACCATTATAATTGAGATAATCACTCAAAACTTGGAAGTAATGGACAGCCATTTTGTTCCAGTATAGCACTCCTAATCAGTGGGAATCCGCGACCCTGCATCATGTGCTCACTGGTATCTGGCTTTGAGAGAAAATTTCTGAATATGAGGAAAGTATCTCCGAAGATAGCGAAGTATTGCCACGCAATATTGTGGATTGATTGAGGTTAGACTTGTACACCATTAGATCCCACCTTAGTGGTCTGTAGGTTAAACGTTCGAGCACAAGACCAAAGGTTCTGGATTCCATTACCTACTGCAGCGTCGTGTGTATCGACTGTTGAGGAGTCCTACACAAAGAGGTAACGGATATTCAGTACTCCTTGGTTTTCAGGGTTTGTCCAAATTATATTGCTTAATGATTTTAATGAAATTCAACAACCTGCAAAACCTCATACTGACAGTTGTATTTTTGTGTAGAATTGATCATTTCAAAGAAAACAATCACGTTATTACATTTGGAATCTCCAGAAACTAAGAATTGACGGGGCAATTTTTTTTATTAAATATTGGTATTCGTAAGTATAGTATTCTCAATCATGAATAAGACTGAACCAAAGATATTCCCAGTAGATTTGACATCATCAGCCAAAAATCTAACAATTTATTTCTTCAGTCTTTAATAAATCTGGAAATAGGAAAAAGTAACCGCTCATTATATTTTTGTTGGTGAATTATCCTCCAGTTCCTATCGGTTAGAGATGATAATTTTTTTAATAAAAAAAATCTATTTCCATTTTTTATATTGGATTATATGAAGAAGCTGTACAAATGTATGTTCATCTTACTTACAGAGATTAACTAGTAGTGAGTAATTAGTCCCGACCGTTGTTGCTACCTTGACTTGGTAGTCAGGCTTGCCTATCGTGACGAAGCATATGAGCTATACTGGCTGGAACAACCGTTCCTCAAGGTCCTATCATGTTAGACAGGTCGGTTGAAGAGCGGTAAAACGAAAAGCAACGAACTGTACAGAGGTGTAACAGCAGTAAGATGTTTCCTTCAAACAACCAGCATAACAGCGATGCTGCTTAAAACTAGTTAAGTTATTCTTTATCAAGCTGATTAAACTGATGTAATGGATTCGAAAATCGATTTACACTGGTTTACTATTATGTCTAATTGATGTTCTCAAAAACTATGAATTTTAATAAGTCCTGAATGGGATATGAACTCACCCAAACTTCTCTACTCAAAACTGTTAAATATTGAACTACAAGTTTTATTTTCACTGAATAACAATTATAACTGTTTACTTAAAATGTTGTATATTCAATATAGTCACTTAAATTTAAGGTATATTAAAATAGTCTTATTTTCTTTGATTTATCCTTTGAAACTAAGATAAAACTAGACGAAAATTGAAAACCTTGAAGCAATGGACGGTTGTTTCGTCCCAGGATGAAACTCTTCGACAGCGTGCATCCACGATCGCTTATGTGGGCCTCAAACCCAGAACCTTTGACCTCGCACGCGGACACTTAACCTTTAGACCAGTGAACCGTCAACGGTGTTAATATTTAATTCCAAGTGATCTATGATCTTGCACACCACTTCATCCATTGTCTAAGGTGGATAACTGTATCACACTCGACACAGATTGAACTTCAATTGTCACGATTTCTTACTAGAACTCCAGTAAATTCATCTTAAAGCTAGTCACTAGTGAGCATATGATTATTATTATGATTATTGTAGGGATTTGTAGAGATTGTATTATTTTATTGATTGAATTCACGAGTCAATCTAAGTTACACCATTATTGATTGACTCGTGAATTCAATTGTTAAAATACTGCAATCTCCACAAATCACCATAATGATGGAATAAAACTGTCAAACTCTTGACTCAAAAGCGTCTAACTAAGTTTTTAATAGATTAGAATATTTTACTCTTTAAAAATTTCAGTCGTTGCATCTAGATATATATTGATGATTATATCCGACCTTTTGTAACTAATGGCGGATTTTTGAATAACTTAGTTCAGGGAATTTTGGAGATTGTTGAATTTCGTAGTTTTTCATGTTTTTATTATTGATTAATTTCGACAAGTTATTCCCTGAGTCCTAGTGAGAAGACTTCACCGGTGGAACTTAACTATATCAGGTGTGAGACAGTTATAATTTTATGACAACCAATGATGATTCAACAATATTGATAATTTACTGAAATTGAAAATATGAACCATTGGATACCAACTCAGTCGTCAAAATGTTGAAAGCTTACTGCATCGCTTGAAATAACTAGATTTGATCCCTATTAGAGTCGTGAATGCTCACTGTTTTGTAGTCTCATACTAGAACAAAAGTGTTATCTAATGCTTCCTGGTTTTCGATTGTTGTTCAACTAAAGTTAGTCCATAATGTAAAGCTGTAAGATTCTTAGTTAAAAGCACTGGCTTATTTAGTAATATTTTGTTTGATTTATTATACAGTTGTTATAAATGGGATTAGATGTTCATCAGGCTAGAACGTTAGTTGACGGAAATTAAAATTGTAATGTTGTACTCTAATGAAGTGGTTCTAATATTTAAGAGCTCACCGAGAGACGTAAAGATCCTAGGTTCGGTCCTTAGTTTGGGTAGTGGATGTGGACTGCTGAGTCCCATATTAGAATCAAACAGTTACTTAATACATCCTTCCTTTCAATACTCCCTCTTATTATTAAAAATCAATCCAATTTCACTTTATCAGAGTTAAAAGGGTATTGTTTAAAAAATTGACAGAAATAACTTAATTTCTATGAATAAAATACATATCAGAAAAACGATATAGAACATTTGACATAATAGATCTTTAATACACATCTTGAAATGATTCAGCATGAATTGATATACAAATTTACAATTTACAAGTGAATAAGATGTTCAATGCACAAGGCTTAGAGATAACTTACTCATACCAGTGTTCTTTCAGCATCTATTTATTAAATATGATAGATATATTCGAGGAATGTCGATGTTCACACTAAAACTCAAACCCAGTATCTTTTACTTCAAAAACCCAAAATGTTATTCACCGAGTTACTGAGTTCATATAGACACTGACGTTTTCAACGGATATGACAGTCAATCTTCATCAAGTTAGGAAGCGTTTAAACTCATTAACTCAGTTATATATATTTCAAATTTATGTATGTTAAAATGGGGGCTTACTTAATGGATTACTTAACTACAACATTAATTCATTATGATACGGTGAATTAACAGTTTCTTTTCTTCTTTAATATGAGAGAAAATTATTATCATGACTGATCCAATCATAAATGAACCTAGATACTTTAGACATAATGAAACAATCTTCCGAATAATTTATGTACTCGATTACTATTTTTGGTGGAGTTTTGTTCTCTGAGCTGGATGGTTTGGTCGTCGAGCTTTCATCGTTCTTCTGAACGACATCATCAGCACAAACTTCAGGTAGAAGTGAACCTCAGAGAACAAAACTTCACCAAAAACTCGATTACTATCTTCATCAATGTTTAGTATTTAAATGTTGGGTGGTCTGAACAACTTAAGTGTTTTTTAAACAGATTTTTGGCATTAGCCTATTTCAACAATCAAATTTATTCATCTGTCTATTGGTTAGATAGAACTTGAATACTTCTATGATTTAATGTTTTAATACTTTCTAAACACCTTTTGTTAGTTATTTCGTATCAGATTCTGACATGATCTTGAAGTGTTAATTTTATACAGCCATTCTAGATTTTTAAGAAAATTTTTGATTGAGATTATCGATCGATTGATGTTGAACCACCATTGAAAACCTGGAAGCACTAGATGAGTGTTTCGTCCTAGTATGCGACTCCTCCGAAATGAGCATCTACGATCTGACACATGGGATTCGAACCCAGAACCTTCAGTCACTCACGCGAACACTTAACCTCTAGACCATTGAACTGGCATCCAATAGTGTTAATGTCGAACTTTAGTCGTGTAAAGATTACAGTATTATTATAAAAACTCTGTATAGTTTAAGTGTATATTTTTCTTTACACTGTCAAGAAAAGTCATGATATAAGAATAATAAGATTTAATAATCAACCTGAAATTTGAAACGTTACTCATATATTGATTTTAAAGAAAATCAGTTAACGCAATTGATTGATCACTGGGTGGTGATCAATGTCATGCTTGTCTAGTCCTTATTAGTGCAGATCGAATGCTATCGATCATGTTGCAATGTGGTTACCAGTCTAAGTGACTCGACACTGCGGGAACTATATATATATCTTGGGATTTAGATGGTGTTTAGAGGTAGTCAACAGGAAACCCTGGACCCGGGTTTCGTGCTACTTGGCACTCGTCAACAAGGTGTATCTGTAATCTTGAGGGAACTGGTGCTCCCTGGCAGACTCGATCCCGTGTCACCCAGCTTCACAGTTAGAGACGTTACCACTGAGCTATCCGAGCCGCGACCGACCTCCTATAGGACTGAGTTGTAATCACAACTGATTGATCACTGGGTGGTGATCAATGTCATGCGTGTCTAGTCCTTATTAGTGCAGATCGAATGCTATCGATCAAACTGCATTGTGGCCACCAGTCCAGGTGACTCGGGTCCAGGGTTTCCTGTTGACTACCTCCAACCACCATCTAAAAATCAGTTAACATTAAAACCTGAAGTTACAAACTACTTAGCTCATAATTTATAATAAGAATAATATTAATGTAGATTTCAATAGAAAATAGAATGTATGTTGTCAAGACTTTAAACAAATTGGGCAGAGATAAATTGTTGACTAGAAATCAGTAAACACTGAGGAATAGACATTGTGACATACAAAAACACTGAATAATCAATCATTAAGTTCGATTCCCCCC